GTGTATGAATTGTGTATAATAATGTGTACTCGTGAAAGTTGGACATGTATTGTTATTAGAATACGGATTGGGTTATGAATTGTGTATATTAATGTGTACCTTGGGAGATGTTGTTGTACTGCCTGGGTTACAGATCCATGGGAGAGCTGTTAGTCTGTTACTGGTACTGCTTGTCGACAGTGGGTTGATGAGTGTGAGCGTTTGTTGGGTGTTCAGCCCCTTCTCCGGGCTGACCTTCAAGGGTCATCTCTGAGGATGCCATGGCTGAGGGAGCATTTCGTTGTTCTTCATGCAGACGATAATGAGGTGATGATCCAGCAACATGCACGAGCATATATTTTGATGATGATAGGAGCTTCCATTTTCGCTGACAAGAGCGGAAATCGGGTTCAAGTGCTGCATTTGCCTTTGCTAGAGAGGTTTGATGTAGCAGCACAGTTCAGTTGGGGTAGTGCCACGCTGGCTTATCTCTACAGACAGCTGTGTTGCGGTTGCCATAAAGGGAGCACAGAGCTTGGAGGATTTTTGTTTCTTCTCCAGATTTGGTCATGGGAGTACATCCACATTGGGCGTCCCATTATAGTGGCATACCATGGCATCGATGGACACCCACTGCCTGATGAGCCTCCACGTTGGTATGTTTTCAATCGTTTGAATTTATGTTATTGTATGTTGAATATAAATATATTCATAATATTCACATTAATATATGCTACATGAATTGTTAGATGGCTATTTGCTGGTCTATGTAGCACATCATCGGCTTCTAGGCTCGGTGTGTACAGGGATGCGTTTGATCGGATGACTGAGGATCAAGTATGGTGTGCGTAATATAACATTAACTATAATATGTATAGCAGAAATACTAATATTGTATCTTTATGAAATAGATTACATGGATGCCGTATACAGCTGAGATGTTTGTAGATTTACCCCCCGCTGGACGAGAGCATTCTCACATATGGCGAGCACGTGTGCCGTTGATATGTTTTGACATCGTTGAGCTTCATTTGCCTGATCGTGTATTGCGACAGTTTGGGTATGAGCAGGTCATTTCAGCACCTATCGATACATATGTAGACCTTCATAGGTTGGATAGGCGTGGGAAGCATACAGAAGATTGGCACTCAGACATGTCTGATACGTCGCTATGTGGGACAGGCGAGCTGAGCTTGTTGTGACTCGGACACCGACATTAGTCCCATCTGTTTCGGGAGACTACATGGGATGGTATTACAGCATCACTCGTTTGTTTGTGTCTCCTTCGTTCAGACTCCCTACTCACCATTATAAGCCTAGTTCCTTGGCTTTGCATCTGACGGTAAGTATATTACTAATTACTAAAATAAGGAGTTTTCTTTATTTAACACTTTTATTTATTTCTAACTAATTGTAATTGTGTTTCATATTTCAGACACGAGCTTTGCAGTGTATACATCAGCGGGCTACTGCCACAGTGAGTGATACGCATGACGTGGACATGTACAGTCAGGTTTTGACGGGCATCGCCTCGTTATGTTCAGATGTGTTGAGGCGAGTCGACTACGGTCATCTTATACATATGCCCCCATCTCAGGATATGTCATCGACATTTAGTGCAGCGGCAGCTTCATCATCCCAGACTCAGCATGAGAGAGTGGTTCTTCAACCACGCCAGCGGCATAGGCATAGGCGTAGGCAGCAACAGCAACATCTCCATGACCAAGACGATCAAGAAGATCATGAGAACTTGTAGTTTCTCTTTTGTATTGGAGTTTTTCTTGTACACTAGATGTTGTAGAAACAATTGACTTTATTTTACGTATTTCCACCTGTAAACTCTTTTATGATGTGTTGATGTGTTCGGTTATGAATATTATATGACTACTGTGTTATGAATATTGGATTATTGTAATGTGTTGTATCTGTTTCGTAACCACTAAATAGGAGAAATGAGACTTTGTTTATAGTAAGGGGTAAGTTGCCAAACGGTTGGGCAATTTATAAGTCGCCAAACCGGATGGCGACTTATAAGTCACCCAATCGTTTGGCGACTTACCCCGACCATGGTTAATCCCAGCAGTATATCGATAAATACTTTTAACCCAACATTATTTTTGTAATTAATTAATTAATTAGCATTAATTCGAAAACAACTCTATTTTGTTTGCCGATGTTTGATTTTATCAATGAAATAAAACGGGAAAAATATGTCTTCCTTCTGAAACTGTTTGTTTTTGTTGCTTGGGATATCAATTTTTTAAATTTTAATTTTGCTGACTTTACAGACCTATTAATGTATTTCCATCGTTTCTAATGGAGTAAAAAGTTCATCATTTTTTGACTTGGAAATATGATGGAATAAAACAAAATAACTGGAAGCTGAATGTGTTTCTTGCTTATGACGCAACAATCAAATAATACAATTTTCGACGCAATTTTCATCATAAATCATTCGAAAACAATCTTTCAGTGCGTTAATGCAGGATTAAGGCTACATATATCCAATCTCCCTTAACTCACCGTAGGCGAGAGCCCTTGCACCACTGGGGTAATGTTGTTATGGTAGTGTAGAACTATCAATGTAGTTTGTAAACATTTACCTATCTACACTTTTTGCCATTATTAACACTTCGATTATTGTGTCAGTGACACTTTTAACGCCCGATTTCTTTTCCCATTTTTATTCTTTGACTATCTGCCGAGACTATTTAACTTTATTTTCAAATTGAAAATTAATTTGAGCAGAAGAAGTTTGATCACAATAAATTGTGCTTGAATGAATGTATAGACAACTTTTTTTATTTTCGCCCAAGATTTAGTTTGGCTTAACAAAATAAGAATGGTGTCATTATGAAAAAGACGATAGAACAAGAAAGAATGACACAAATATTACCAATAAGGTTTCAATAGACAAATATATGACCGTTTTAAAACTTTACCAAAAAGTGACCCGCTTCAACGCATCTCCCATCTTCATCGAACAGTCTTCAGCGCAGACTTCAACGCATCTCCCATCGTCAACGAATAATCTTCTCCAACGCATCTCCGGCCTTCATCAAATTGAACCAGCACCTCCACCGACGAACTTCTGCAGATGAACCAGCACCTCCGCCGACGAATTTCTGCAGAACCAGCACCTCCACCGGTGAACTTCTGCAGATGAACCAGAACCTCCACCTTTGTTCTGGCACACGATTTAGCGTCTGGCTACAATTTACATGAACTCGGCAAAGACCTTCATCATCTGATGACGACGAGCTCGGATTTGACGCCTCTCAGCTCCGTCCGCCTCTTCGCCTCGTCGTCCTTCAAATCCGACACGTCAACCAGCAAGCAACCAGATCTAGGGAGGGCCGCTACTATGGTTCATTGGCCACTAGTCGGGGATGGGTTGGGCTGTCAAAGGTGGGACTGGGAGGGGTGGATTTGGGCTGGATAGGATGGTCGAAGACTCGAAGTTGATGTGCGACAACGATTGGATGGATGGAGGGTGTGGAGTTGGTCAGAGAAGAGGTTGGTTGGGTAGGGAGGAGCTGGGGAGGTCAAGTCGGGGTGGGGCAATGGTGGTGGTCGGTGGTGGTCGGTGGCGTTTTGGGTATGTTGGGTCACTAGTGGTGGCCGGCCAGAGTTATAGTCGTGACTGCATCAGGGAGGGGCAATGGGGATGGTGCAAGCTGGGGCGTGGGGCCGATGGTCACCAAGGGCTGTGGCAGTTAGGGCTAGGCGGTGGTCGTTGGATGAAACGGTGCAGCGACGATAATTGAGCGATGTCGGCGATAGTGCCACTGCGGCATGCGGTGGTGGCCAGCAGCGCATTGATGGCCAACGACGGTAGTGACTACAATGACACGAGCGATGGCCACAATGACACAGGCGGTGACTACAATGATACGAACGGTTGTTACAGTGACACGAACGGTGATTACAGTAACACAAGAGATGGCTACAGCGACACCGAAGGTGGCTGCAGTGACACGGACGGTGCCTACAGTGACATGGGAGGTGGCTAAGTGACATTGGCGGTGTCGAAAGTAACATTTGATAGTGACATTAAAATTGCACAGTGACATTAAAATCTGGCAATAACATTGATTGGAAAAAAAGGTGGAATCTCCCACACCAGTAGGGGTGGACCGGTTCCGGTTCAGGCCCGGTTCGAGCCTGGGCCCGATTCTGAATTGGCGGTTCAGGCCTGGGCCCAATCGGGCCTCAATTCATGAAAGGGGAGGCCCGAAACCGGTCCGGGCTGGGCCGGGCCGGGCCTCGGTTCATGTACTTTTTTTTTTGCTTTTCCTAATTAACCCCAACCCTCCCCCCTCACCCTCAAACCACCTCAAATGGCCCATCATACCCAGCCCAACCCGACCGGGCCGGTTCACTATTTAGCAGGCCCGGGCCCGAACCGCCTACCTCACCAGGCCGGGTGGCCCGAACCGGGCACCAAACGGTTCACCGGGCCGGTCCGAGCCCACACAGTAGCGGGCCGGTCCGGTTCCGGGCCGGTTGGCCCGACCCGAGTCCACTCCTACACCCCAGGAGCCCCCCACGCCGACCCGACAGGATGGTGGGGAGGTTAGTCACGATGACTCAATCAGCAGAATGGCAGTGGGCCCATACACCCGTGCGCGCCAAAGGTCCAACCTTATTTCAGGTTCTGTATCCTCCACCCGATCGCTGCGGGGATTCGAACCTTAGTCCATTGATCCAAATCTCCGACCACTCGACCAATCTGGCAATAACATTAATATGACCTTAGTCCCATTTTTTGTCCTAATGTTAATGTGGTCACATTTTTAGAAATTGTCTTAACTTTAGTACTGTAATTTTTAGTAAGAATCCCATATAACAACATTACCTAAATGACGCTCTTTCATACTCTGTATGTAAGTAATGTAACAACCCGGTAAATAAAATAAATATAATAGCGACAAACCAAATTATCATAATAAAATGCATATATACTCACGTAAATATCTCTATTTTATATCCTAGAAGTTTCGGACTTCGAAAAAACATTTGTGGTTGATGTCTTCCATCTTATCCATCTTTACAACGATATTTATTCAGTTTCAGATCAAAATTTTCAAAACACAATCATATATGGTTCACATATTATCAAACAAACAGCGCCATCTTATACGTATGTTTTGCTTCACTAAACAAATACAAAAATACTTGTGATGGGGGTTAAAGGAAAAAAAAAGTATTTGATATTCACTAGCATGGTCATCACCTCCTTTCAATATAAAAAGCTGTTTATAATTACCTCATTTTTACTATGCCACAAAGAAAAGGAAGATCATGAGGAAGAAAATCAACACAAAGAATATCTTAATCATTAGCCACCTATTAGATGAGATGCTGTTGAGATACTTGAGTAATGCCCCTTGTGCCCCTTCTACATTTGCAAGTGTGTCCTCCATATTCTCATCAATCCTGCAGTATTACCCCAATTAACTGTCCATGTCTTCTTTTTCATGCATATACCCTTCGACAAGGTGAAAACAAACGTGCGTGTGTGTGAAATTGCTCCGTATATAGAGCTTAACGGCAAATTAATCAGGCCAAACGGTATCCAAGCTTAATTAAGTGGGGCATATAGCTTTGCCGCAAATTAATCAGATCAAACGGTATACATAAGCATAATTAAGTGGGGCCTAGTGAGAGGTCTCGAGTTCATAACAAGCATTCCAGCCCAGCTGGTTGTGAGGTTACCGTGCGTAGTGAGAGGTCTCGATTTCAAAACCCGCTAGGCACATAAGGGTTTGAAACTCAATGAAGTGAGTTTCAACCTTGATTACTCCAGACCCCAGCCCCCTTGGAGTAAAAAAAAATAAAAATAAGTGGGGCCTAAGCGGGGCAAACACCTAGGAGCTAAAGAAGCCTATCGCCATGCAGAGGATTAAGGATGTTTTTACTTGGACTGTAATTCATCCCAGACCAGACCAGACCAGTTCAGACCAGATTTGGATAGTTATAAAAATACAAAGAAACCAGACCAGACCAGTTCAGACCAGACCAGCAAATTATAGTCCAAGTAAAAACATCCTAATAGGGGGATAGGCTAGAATATAAGCAAAATAACAATCTAGGTAGAAATTCATGGCCAAACTGACTAGAACTTTGACCAAATTTGGAATTGATGACCAAGATTGAAATTTGGGTATTAGTTTCATAGTAACTGCTAATCGGGCTATTTTGCTAGACATACGGGTAATGCGTTTCAAGTGTAAATAACGTTTAGAATGTTTATTACTTTATTTTAATTGTACTTGCATTTTATTATGAAGATGAATATGAATGTATTCAACAATATCCAAACTAACAGAAAACGGAAACATAAATATGAATAAAATCACACCACAGCATAAAACTGTATTTAACTATGAATGAAATCTCACTGGAACTACCAACAATTTCTAACCAAGCGAAACAGAAATATAAATGAATTTAGTTTGCCAGTGTCAAATGTTTACGTTTACGTTTACGTTAAGGAAACAGGTGAAAAATAGTTCACTTATAAATTCATGCGCAAAAGATGGCAGAAGAATCAAAAATTGAAACCAACAGAAAATATGGGAAGTCATTATATCCCACTAATAGCCTAATATGGCTCAATCAACTCGTGAACTATGGGTTTGGGCTATTTCTTCTACTAATTAAGTATTTATGAATAGTGTTCTGCCTTAAGCCCAAATCTAGAGAGGATGTTGTGAACCCAGTGGTCCACCCTGAAGAATCATAAATGGCCCTTCTCTTCAAAACTAGCCCTTTGAATCCTTTATGTAGGTGCACGTAAAAATCCCACTAATAAAACTCCTCTCTTTTCCCCAACTCATGTGGTAAGCGATTATGAATCTCTTCCTTCCATGGTTTATGGTAATGGGTCAACAAATGGTGCCTGTAAAGACTTGACCACTCCTAATTTACCTTGGGCTTTAGTTCCAACATATCTAAATGTCATTTCAATTTTATTTCATTTCTTCACCTTGCAAAATCCTTAAACTGCTTAGTCATTTTTTCCTTAAACTGCTTGTTTACCACACTATTCACACTTTCTTTCACATTTGGCTGTATAAATTTTCTGCTTAAAAATACACAAAAATTCTTCAATTTTTAAAAAGAAAAACTTAAAGTAGTTAACTTCTTCCGTAACTTCCCAAATTTTTAGTTAGCTGGATTTCTACCCTAAAACAGCTTCTCTTCTCTTCAAGAAACAGGTAAGGTCTGCACATAACTCACCCACCCCATACCACACTATTGAGTGCGACCTACTGGATATGTTTGGATTAGAAACAGACTAGATATGTCCTCTCAAGTTTTCTTGGAGGACGGGCAGGTGCAAACAACTACAGCTTTACTGCAAGTGGTAGACAAAACGACGAGTTTAATGAAACTTAGAAAAACTAAATTCCAGCAGATGCTAAAATGAGAGCTAAATTAGAAAAGGCCATTTCTTAGTCCTGTTAATCCTGTCAATGTATGTTTATTAATTTTTTCCTCTTCTGGTTGCCACGTTCATTATATTGACACCTCAAAGCTAAACTCATATCCTGCATGACCAGTATAAGCTAAATATATGAATTGGTACCTGATTGCTATCTCTCCTTGTTCTGAAACCAAGGTGGCCAGTTGATTAAAAATATTGCCAAGCTCATGTATCGTAGCCTCCACATTTTGAAGGGCTTCAGCCCGACTTTGCATGTAGCTGTCTTGCAGGGGAACCATCTGTTGTTGTTGTTGTTGCTGCTGCTGCAGTAACGGTTGACTTTCTCCATCATTTTGTTTCCTGCTAGGTAATTTTAGAGATTGAAAACTTACGCTTACTCAAGAATAGTAATAGTTGTTGTTTATGTTTTTTTATTTGGTGCCTTTTATTAAAAGAAACATATTTGAATCGTGCTGGACTTTTCAACTCTTCCAAATAGACATTGAAAAGACATTGTAGAACAGCACTAGCAGTAGAGTTAATGATACAATGATAAAGAAAAAAACATTAGCAACAACAACAATAAGGTCCACACACAAGTCAAAATCAACCACCAATCTATATAACTAATATAAGGTTCAAATTAAAATGCATCATTTGTCTATAATATATACTCCCTCCGTCCCTTAAAACTTTGTCATCTTTCCTTTTTGGGACGTCCCAAAAAACTTTGTCACTTTCCTTTTAATCAATTATTTTGTGGTATCTGTTATTTCTCTCTCCTCTGCACAAATCTCAACCACACAATTTTTTCTTTATTATTCTCCGTGCCGGTCAACTTTGGCAAAGTTTTAAGGGACGGAGGTAGTATACTAGTATAAAAATCGGCTAGTACATGCTATGAATCCAGGATGCATAGGTTATTAAATATATGAAAAATAAGTAGGCTCAAATAATTTTTGGGCAATAAAATGCCTCAACACTTTGACCCTTACTCATTTCATGCATAGGAACACTATTTGTTATTTTACCAGACAGATACGGGAATGTGTGCAGGCCCCTGTCCAAGGTCTTAATGAAGAGGTTGGGAGAGAGAAGGAGTAACAGGAGAATTGCTAAGCTACAGTGATAACGATTGCTTGCCCTTGGCAAGGAGTCAAGCACTGATATGCACGACTTACCTTAGCTAAAGTTGAAGGATTGAACTATAAAAACTATATGCTTCATTTTTATAAACAAACGCGCATTTTGGTCGACTGGTACAGAGTTCCTCTTGAAGTGTTGAAGCCAAGGTTTAGTCAAGATCTTTTCAGCGGTGCTGGTAGGTCTTCAAACAATGGCTCCACGTAACCAGCCGAAGAGAAGAGAAAGGGAAAGCAACAAAGTAAAAGATATTTGGAAACATGGATAATTTTTAAGGCCCACAGTGAAGAAAAGGAAAATTCAAACTGCCGCAAAGTTTGAAGTGATTTGCGCATCTTGTAACTGTTGCAAGTGTAAAATGATTTATGATTTACACAACTTGTATAAAAATTTGTACACATCATTAGTATGATTTATGATGTAATTTCAAATCTTGTGTACTAAAAATAGTTTGAGAAAGGATGAAAAGATAGAAAAAACTTCAAAAAGTGAGGAGAGCGAATATGGAAATGTATGGGCACTTATGTTACTCGTCAAGCTTTACCAAAAGGGGGAACTGGAACAAGTATTTGAAAAATTCCTTAAAAACCTAGTGAAGCAACTAAATGCATATGAAGGGAGAATATTTTTGAGCAAGGATGGTTGACAGGTGAATGATCTATATGATGTTTGTAAAACATAAAAACATGCTAGGCCAAGAGCTACCAGCTATAGCTAAATGGCAACTTAAAAGTTACAGTCGACAAAATTATAGGCAGTACCATAGTTAATCAACTAGCTCAAAGAAGAATGGCAACATGAAAGCTAGAAGTAATTTAATTAGATATGCTCAAAAAGTATTGCATACATCAATTCAGCTGCGACAGCCTGGCACCATTTTTTGTGTGAACAATGCATTTTCTACAGAGAGCTATTCCTCAATGCACATCTTAAAACTGGAAACGACAGAAACTGAATATAGTAGAATAAGTTGTAAAAGCAAATTGTGATAGAACATATGTTAAATACTGGGTCCTAGAAATGGCCACTTGTCAATTGAAACTCAAACAGGAACATTATAACACACTAAACTATTTGGGAATGGATTTTTGCTTCACATGATATCTATGGTACAAACCACACAATAGAAAGATAGGATTCATTTTTTGTTAAATTCTCCTGTTGAAAACAAAATTAATAGGCAGAAAACTTGGACTGAGCGATCTCATAATTTTATCAGCTCCCATAGTTAATCATCTTACTTTGGAAATAACTGTGAAGAAGGAGCTGACCCATTAGCCCAAGGAGGAGGAGAATGAGTAGAGGTACTAGCAGAAGATCTGGCAGCTAATGGACGCTGGCGAACGAATGGATTTGAGGAGTCCTTGGAAGCGGTAGAAGAAAATAACTGCCTTCTGTTCTCGTGAACTTTCAAATTCTGTCGAACACAAAAAACTTGAATCAACATTAGGCCAATGAAAGACAATAACAAAGGCTAGTTTTGTAGTTTGGGCGTACACAGCAATGGGTAAAATAAGTTAAGAGGTGGTTATAATATTATATTATACCCGGAGAAGATAGCAATATCAGGAAAAAGAAAGTACATTCATGAAGACAGAAGACAATATCAGCTGTATTCACCTCTGTACGCATGGTTAGGACATCTTTGAACTCCTTGGTGGCGCTCATCAAGCGGTTCTTCAAATCATCTACAACTGTAGTTGAATGTGTAGTAGTATCACTATTTCCAATTTCACTACGCGAGTTAGATATAAGCTGAAGATCAACTACAGCGGAGTTCAGTGCAGTAATATCTTGCTTGATGACTGCAGTCAGTTCCTGAATCTCTGTGGTGGGGTCATCAAAAACAGATGTTCTTTTTGCCACTGCAATGAAACAAATATGCATTACTGACTGTACACCTTCATTGTAAGAGTTCTCACAAGTAAATCAGTTCATTCTCGTATCCTTTATGCCACACCAAAAGAATTGTTGCATATGTAGTTAACAATTTCCAATAATATATACACATGCTAAGGTTTTTTCGGTAGGGGGAGCTAATGATTTGTATGGATTGAGGGGAACGGCAGAAGGGAGGGAAAACTATTCTTCTCTTTGGTTTTGAGAGAAAGTAAAGGGGGGAGCTGGTCGATGGGACAATCCTCCTCTTATCCCCTCAAATGTCATCCTCTGATCCTTCAAATTCGAATCAAATGGAAGGAGTTGAGTGGACACTCCACCTATATTCTTAATCTTTTACAAGTACAGATTATATTACATCCCCTTCATTTACATTAAAATCCAAAGTTGGAAACATCAAAATCCTTTATAATTCCTTCTTGCTTTCAATTCCGAATAATAATGCAGTCCACACAGAGCTTAGTGATTTCCAGTACCCTCTTCTCCTCCGGACCTTCCCTCTACAACTAACATCCCTAACTATCAACCCAAAGACACTGATAAAATGACCAGACCTTAATCTATCCACTCTACTTATCTAATAGCAACAATGAATTTCGTGCTATTTTAAAATTATAAAATCTGACTTAAGCAAAGCTTAGTGTACAAGTCTTCGAAGATGAATTCTTTTTCATTACACTGTTTGTCACTATTTTCCATTTCCCAACAAACTTCAGTATACAAGCCCTTCTCCATAGTCTAGTAAAGTATATGATAGAGGTATAACATAGCTGTTCAATATATTTAAAAGGAACCATGTTTACTTTATCATAAGGATTCTACGCAAAGCTATACATATCACTTTCATAAAATGACAACAATTCTAAGAACTTAAAAGGTATATTCACATAATTATAAATAATGTTTTACTCTTACTATTATTTTTACTGTGCATTACTGTAACACGTGCAACATTTGCTGGAAATGCTACGGAACATGGGGTCCAGCATCGATTTTTTGAATCAATGCAAGAAGGGGAAGTGGGCAAAATCAAATACGGAAGTGATACACACTCATTTCGGGCAGGATCCAACTTTCTGTTTTGAAATCATCATTTATTTATGTAGTTACTGCATTTAAGCTATGTAAATAGACAGTTTCTCATAAGGATCTCGAGATCAAAATGATTAAAACTTATTTCACATCTACTACTTAGCATTCGGTGCCCTTACCCCCCACTATCTGCAATACCTTCTCTTTGTCCTTACCTCGTATTAGCCAAATTCATTTCAAGCCCCCTTTACAATTACCCACTTAGAATAGAAATAAGAATGAGATTCTTCCAGCTAATTTGAAACACCCAGCACAAGAGAATACTAACATAGTACTGCTAAATTCCTGCCACATCTATTGTGTTAAGCATGATTCCTGTGCGGCTGTCTTATATGGAGTACATTAAAGAAAAGGATGGTTTCTTTGTTTAATTTAAATGTTAACTAATCTGTATAACCTTAGTGTACAAGAGAGAAAATTGCTAATCCGATCCTTACACTTAGCAAGCTTCGAGAGCTTCTGCGACGTGTTGTGTATACCCAGCCCTATTTTCGACGCCCTTTTATTGAACTCAGACTGAATGGAGACTAAAGACCTCTGGTCCGATCTACTGCTGAGGGCACTACTACTCGCAGCATTATGCACCGAAGAAATTGATTTCTTCAGCCGTTCGGCAGTGCTCTGAAATTCAAGAGTCCGATCCCGAACAGACGCATTTGCAGCTTTAGGCAACATTTTTTCAACCTCAGCCCTCTAAATTACCATAAGCCTCCGCAAGATTTTCAATATTGTACCGCAAAAGCCTAGAAATTTGGGATGCGGGCAAACGATTGAGGGAATCAACCACCAACAAGTAGATCTCTTGTCGTTGGTTTCGAATCCAAATGACTCTATTGACGTTGGTCCAGATCCGCAACCGCCATGAGTCTTGAGAAATTTCAACACATCCAGCGATTTTCGTAATGGAGTTGAGAGGAGAACTGGAGAAGTCCAGCACAGCTTCCTCGGCGTTGGTGTATACGGTATACCTTTCTGTTCCTTCCCAATTTGCGTAAAAAAAAGTCCGTTCTCTGATTTACCAACGGGAGTTGCTCGGCGCACCCACTTTTAATGACTAGTAAATTATGACTGCCCATTTGTACAGTTAAAAAAATGAGGGAGCTTGTACTTCTTTTTTGCAACACAACATCATATCATTGCACTAATAAATCATTTGATATTTACATTTTATTCAAAAAAAACTAATAAATCATTTGACAAATGACTTACGATACTTTCAGGCACCTCAACAAAATACTCTCTCCGTCTCGGAAAATTCTTCTCACTTTGATTCGGATCGGAGTTTTAGGCAAGTGATAACTTCCATTGACTTTCCATGTATACCCCTATAGCTAATAAAGAGGTGGAAGAAAGGGAATGGGGTAAAAAAAATTACTACAAGTCTAAAACAAATAAAACCGATGTGATAGATTCAAAAGAAGGAATAAAAAGCCCTACGGCAGTCTATTATACAGTACACAAAGCACTGTTTTGGAAAACTTAACTGAAAAGTACCCTCCAAAAGTTCCCTCCCTTTTTACCTTATATAAATACACTTTCTAAAATTACAAGTCTTCGATACACACAGCACACCAAACACTACGGACTACATTAATGGCAGCCAACATAAATGCTGTGCAGTCTTCATCTTCTCCTTCTGCACCTGCCATTAATGAAGGTTCGCCTTCATCTTCAACAACTGATTCTGCAGATCTGCAAACAACAATAGAAAACAGAAGCTCAAATAACAAAGCAAAGAGGTTAGACAACAAAGAAAGAGAGAGCATAGTTGATGAAATTCTAATCACTTCTAAAAGAGGTATTTCTAGGGCATTACAAGCTCAGAGAGGTGTGTTTAGTAAGCTAGCCACTAAATACTCAGTGACTAGAATAACTTTTTTCAACATTTGGAACACAACCAAGGAGCAACTACAAAAAGGGGATGTTGTAGATGTTAGTACAAAGTGGGTGGGAAACTCAGGCCGAAAAAGAGTCATGTTTGATGTTACTCATATTCCAGAAATCCCTCTCCATAAAAGGACAAACATAAGGGCACTTGCTTCTGCCAGTTCACTGTCAAAATCAACCATTCACAAGCTGGTTCAGAGAGGTATTCTTAGAAGTCACACAAATGCTATAAAGCTTTTTCTAAGTGACACAAATAGGATGTCCAGACTGCTTTTCTGTTATAACTAGATAGACGAATAAATTCCATCTAAGCCAATTTTTTAAAATTTCCAGAATGTCATACACATTGATGAAAAATGGTTTTTCCTGTCAAAAACATCACAAAGATACTACATGGGCCTACAAGAGCAGGATCCACATAGAGTATGCAAGTTCAAGAGATTCATAACTAAAGTTATGTCACTTGGAGCAGTTGGCAGACCTCTTTTTTCAAAAAAAGGTGATGTTATTTGGGGTGGAAAAATTGACATTTCCCCCTTCATTGAGAAAGTGGCAGCTAAACGTATAAGCAAAAACAGAAATGCAGGGATGATGGAAACCAAACATATAATTAGCATTACAAAAGGAGTGTTTAAAGACATGCTAATAAATACAGTGTTACCAACAATCAAGGAGAAATGGCCACAATAATTAAGAAGGGAAATCATAATCCAGCAGGATAATGCAAGGCCACACATTCTAGATTCTGATCCAGATTTTATGGTTGCCTCTAAAGGTGATGGCTTTAATATTACCCTTATTAATCAGCCCCATAATTCCTTGGATCTCAACATACTAGATCTTGGATTCTTTAGGGCAATCCAGTCTCTAAAAGACCAGAAGGCACCTAAGAATGTGGATGAATTGTTACACGCAGTTGATGAGGCATTCTATGAGCTTTCACTTGTCACTCTCAACAAGGTGTGGCTTAGTTTTCAATATGTGATGTTAGATATACTCAAAGTGGGGGGAACAGCTACAAGGTACCACATAATGCAAAGGATAGAATGATCACAGAAGGAACTCTGCTCATGAGCATAGAGGTAGATGTGGAGTTGTTAGATGTTATAGGAGTAATTTTATCCCAACCAGTTAATACCCCTATTACAAGTCATGACTCAGAAGAGGAAATTAATGGGCTGTTCATACTAGAAGATGATGATGAATAAATCATCTTCAATGATGAACTCAATCCATTATTGTAAAGGCCTAAGTTTTTGTCATTTTGTGAAGGCCTGTAATGGCCTATTTTTGTGAATTAGTACTGCCCTATTTTTGTATGTACTCATTATGTCATTCTTTCATAGCAGCCTCACACATAGACCTGGGTTAATGCTTGCTCAGACCTGGGAAGGTCAACATTGTAGACCAGGGGTGGTCAACATTGCACCACAGAAATCATATTTAGACCTGGGCAGCCCAAAAAGAAAAGTGGGAAGATTTTTTTGGGTCATCACAGATAACAACCAAACATAGACAACAACACAGAAACCATGTTTAGATTTGGGCTAATGCTTGCTCAGACCTGGGAAGGTCATCACAGCAACCTGCCACAAGCCTTGCTCAGACCTTGGATGGTCAACATTGAGACCTGGGCTAATGCTTGCTCAGACCATAAATGGTCATCATAGCAGCCTGCCACAGGCCTTGATCAGACCTATGATGGTCATCATAGCAGCCTCACATTCCAACCAAACATACATTGCCTCAAACATTTCACACATATTCATCACAGATAACAACCAAACATAGACAACATCACAGAAACCATGTTTAGACATGGGCTAATGCTTGCTCAGACTTCGGAAGGTCATCACAGCAGCCTACCACAAGCCTTGCTCAGACCTTGGATGATCAACATTGAGACATGGGCTAATGCTTGCTCAGACCATAAATGGTCATCATAACAGCTTGCCACAAGGCTTGCATACACCTGGGATGGTCATCATAGCAACCTCACATTCCAACCAAACATACATAACATCCAAAGCATCCTCAAATGTTCATCACTAATGACAACCAAGAATTTCAGTCCCAAACACGCCATATACTCATCATTGCTGACCCATTTCAAACACTATCACACAATCAGATTAATAACATTCATGCAACAAAGATAAATCTGTCTAACATAATGCAACAGGAAGAGAAGTTAAGATAGAAACTCTCCTATTATACATCGATGTCCCACATCCTAGACTCCTAACCAGGTATAATGATTTTTAAGAAGGCCTTCGGACGGGGATTGCGAAGAGGGTGCATTTGCACCTCTCTCCTTCATCTAGCGGCTGCAGACCCTGGAACCTTGTGGTCGTCATCCATCTCCCTCTGCTCTTCAGTGTCCGGTATCATAGCCTCCATTGTAAGATGATGGTGTTCATCGTCCAACTCTGCTTCACTATCCACAACCACCAGCTCCAACCGACCTTCACCATTTAGCTCTTCCGACTCATCTTCGCTATCCGGAACCACAACGGCCTCCATGCATTGATTGTATTCCACTGGATCTAGGGTTGGGGTTGGATTTTGCATCCATGGAAGTCGGATGTAAGGGTGTGGAATTTCAGAAAAGGAGCAACGATTGGATCGATGAAGGAGCTAGGGTTAAATTGTGTTTGAAATCAGAGAAGTGGAAAGTTTTATTCCAAGCAACAATGGAGATGGACCGAGAGAGAGAGAGAGGGAGATGATCGGAACTGACAAAGAGAGAGAGGGAGATGGATCGATTAGGGTAGATGTGATGGGGCGCAGAGAGTATAGGGGATGGGGAGATACGGAAGTGGGGGGTAAATATTTAGGAGGGGTAAAAGGGGTATTTTAGGTGGGGAAACTTTCCATTTTTAGTAAGTGGGAAGAATTTTTGGGACAACCCAAAAAGGAAAGTGGGAAGAATTTTGTGGGACGGAGGGAGTAGCTATCATGATCTGATAGTAACGCACTCTGCCTAGATAGTACATGGACATCACAGTTCGCAGACAGTTTACAAAAAGAGAGACTAAATTCACTCTTAATTTTCAAAAGACTTCGGATATCTTCCAACAACAAATCAATATAAGAATTGTCTTGCACACGTCGCACCCCAATTAACAACTAAAAGTGCATCTGTATCAAAATTCCACACAGACTTACCCTTCTTTCAAGACATCCACCACTGCTACTCTAATCCCTAAAGCTTCCGATTCCGACGGACTCCAAACTCCCTTCCTGGATCTAATGGTGGCCTTAAGGAACGTCCCCTGATCCATGCGAGCAACCCAGCTCAAAGCTCTGATTCCTCCCGCCTCGTTCACTATCGCATCTATATTAACTTTATAGCCCCTACCCAAGGCTTCCGCCATTTCTCTAACCTCGTGTTACTCCTTGACTCTTCATCTCGTTGTTCCCCTAGGCTAACTCCCAAGCATTTAGCATACCATTCACACACCTTATCATTGCCACACTGCTTTGAGTTTTCCCTTTCCAAACCAAATTATTCCTTCGCTTCCATAGACTCCAGATGATTGTTATAAACCGTCCACAACTGATTTTAGTATCCCCTTCTAAATTTGCCTTTATCCATAACTCAAAGCTATCCACCGGATTATGATGTTGTCAGTTCACTGCACTCCAGACCTCTCTAGCCGTCAGGAAGTCACAAAAAAGTGAGTTGTTGATTCCTCCTCTTCACCGCAAGACCTGCAAATCAAAGGTAAATCGACCCCTCTCTTACTAAGATTTAAATAAGTAGGAAAAGATCCATCCATAAGCTGCTAAAAGAAATATTTTAGCTTCGAGGGATCTTTAGGGTTCACCTAACAGTCCATCCCATCCACCCGGAGGTGCCGCCGTCCCTGTTATTAATTTATAACAACTTTTAACTGAGAAAATGCCATTTCCTTCTCCCACCCACCACACCCCATCAGCCCTATCATACAAACTGATTAGAATGCTCAAGATCTTCTCATTTTCCTCCTGAGAAAATATTGCTCGCACTCTATGAGCATTCCATGCCTGTCGTGACTCATCTCGCAATGCTGCTACATTCATCTCATGAATCCCTCTTGGCCAGTCAGATTGGATCATCCCCAAACCCGCCCTAGGTAAGCATCCGTCTGCCCAAACCTGAGTGTCTATGTCATTCCCCACTTTTTGCGTGTATGTGTT